CTTATTCGATAGAGCTTTATTTAATAACGATATCTCCCTCCCACGAACACGGTGTTGTAGACGGTACGGTAGTCGGTCACTGTATGCGCGGAGGTCCTGACAACGGTCCTCACCAAATCAGCGGAGAAAGCAATCCTGGAAGAATATACACATTTTTGACTAAGGATTAAAAGAAAAAAAAAAAAAAAAGTCCCATCTCAAAATGGATAATTTCACTTCATATTTTCAGGTTTGATGGCCAGGTTTGAAATACTGAGCGTGTGCATTTACGTCTGCCTGGCTGTCCTGGTGTAGGTCGACTGCATGACGTGATAGCAGGTGTGCGTGATGGTGTAGTACTCGACCAGGACGTCTGTCACGACTCCAATGTTTGACACGGTGTTAACGACGGTTAAGGTCAAGGGCTTTGCCACTACCCTAGTCTGGATGGCCACGTGATCATCCACGGGAGTTTGCACAAACTGGGAAAACAAAAACAAGATAAATATAAACAAAAAGGAAATGAAAAAAATGTATTTTAGAAGAAAGTCGATATTTAAGCACCCTACCTATACATTCAATGCTCATTCCCCGCAGAAAAGATCTAGACTTACGGCATATCGGGGCTGCGTGGACGTCCAGAGCGCGTAGTCGGTGATGGTGACGGGAACGATGTTGTACTCTCGATCCGTAACAACGACGGAACGATCGACTGTAGCGGTTTGGGTGACCGTGATCGTTTCCGGCCTCTGAGCGGCGCCGGCGTTCAGGTTGGCTGCTGGTGCGAAGGCATTAGGGAGGGGAGGAGCATAGTCAAGTACCTGAGAAAAAGATGAAGATGGATCGTTATTTATTCCCCCCCCCCCAATCAACGCTACTATTGGCTTGGTTTAGGGAATTAGTAACCGTGTTCAATACCTTTGGGGCGCAGCTGCCAAAGGAGACCACCAGGATAAATAAAGCTGCTCGCATCTAGAAACAAAAGGGGTATTTAGCTAAACACATGGATTTCAAAGCATCGCTCAAAACACTTCAAAAATAAGATCACATCTTCTACAAGCTTCATTTCGTTAATAACATCAAATCACAGATCTCAAAGGAATATATAATCCCCATTAAAATAACGTCCATAGTTCTAAAAATAGTGCTTACCTTGGACTAGCTCAGACAATCCTCTCCCAACGTAAACAATACACACACAGGCTGCTGGGTGTCTGGACGCTAACCACAACAGTTTGAGGACTGCGTGCGGCGGTCAGGCCAAGGAAATCCTGCTAACTATCTCGAAATACGTCGTTAGAGGAGTGTTAACTAGGCAAAGAACGAAAGAGGTTATTCGAGATCGTTTGTCGCAATACATGGTAGTGCTACACAGTTTAATGAATATTTATTAAAAGCAATTTCCACTGTCTTCTTCTCTTGCGCTCTCCCATCTTTATCTCTCTCTCTCTCTCTCGCTCTCTCGCTCTGTGTGTGAGTAGACGGCAGATGATATTGCACTCGGAGTAAGTACTCATTCCCCTGATACTACTAGTTATGATGATTTAATGGTAGATTGTGGTATCGCAATAAACATTATCATAGAGCAATGAAAGTGTTAAATTTTGATGATACCTTTGTGTCGGTTAATTACGTCATCCAATTATCCAAGAGGGAAGTAAAGAAAAAAAATAATTCCAAAGGGGAGAGGGAATACAGAAATGGAGCAGCACGATTCAAATGAAAACATGAGGAAGGTAATGTTGGAATATGCATGATATGAACTTCATGATGCCATGCTTTCTCCTAAAGCATCAAAAGGAAAGGGAGTATCATTTGTTTACTCCCGAAATATGTGACATTGGCAACTGAAAGGGTTTAGTCTTTATCATTTCAAAGTATTCATTTATGTTGTTAATTCCCGCACGAAACTTACTTATAAAAGACAAGAAGGCATTTAGTAGAAAAGTGTCATTGTGTTTAAGACATAAAAAGGTGGATTTGGTAACTTGTATCATCGGAAAATATTACTCTACGGGTAGTCGTATGCATGTTTCTTCCTTTTTCGTTATATTTTCTTCTCTTCAATTTCCTTATTTCATCGTCATCGTTTTTGTACCTTCTTTTATTTCCTCATCTTTCTTTAATTTATCTTCTTCCTTCGCTTTACGTTCTCGCTCTTTTGCTTTCTCCCATCTCCCTCTTCATTCCTCTTCCTCCATTCCCCTACTATATTTCCATCTTTCTTGCGTTCCCTTCACTTTCCCGCTTTCTTCCCCTTTCTTCTCTTCTCCCTGCGCGTCCTCTCGTATCTCTTTGCACCCCTTTTCTCGTCCTTCTCTACCGCCTTCGCTTTCTCACCTGATTTCCATTAGCCCGCCTTTGCTGTCCGAGCGCCGACACTTCGATCTTCCTGGGGCTCAAGCCATGCATTCTGAGCGCCTCTCTGCTCTCGCTCTCTCTCTCTCTTCGCTCTCTCTCTCTCTCTCTCGCTCGCCCCTCCCCCCTCTCTCTCTCTCTCTCTCTCTTCTCTTTCTCTCTTCTCTCTCTCTCCACTCTCTCCTCTCTCTCTCTCTCTCTCTTCGCTCCGCTCGGCTCCTCGCCCTTTCCTCTCGTCGCTGCCCCTCTCTCTCGCTCGCCCGTCTTTCTCTCTGACGCTCGCCTCTCTCTCTCTCTCTCGCTCGCTCGCCTCTCATCGCCCTCTCTCTCTCGCCGCTCCTCGCCTCTCTCGTCTCGCTTGCCCTCTCGGCTCTCTCTCGCCTCTCTCTTCTCATCGCTCGCGTCGCTCGCTCTCTTCTCTTCTCTCTCGCTCGGCAGATCGTCTCTCTCTCTCTCTTTCGCTCGCTCGCCCTCTCTCTCTCTCTCTTCGGCGTCCTCTCTCTCTAGCTCGCTCGCGCTCATCATCTCTCTCGCTCCTTCATCTCGTTTTTCGCGAGTCGCTCGCCCTCTCTCTCTCTCTCTCTCTCTTGCTCTCAGTCGCTCTTCTCTTCGTCTCTCGTCTCTCTCTCGTCCTCTCCTCTCTCTCTCTTTCTCTCTCTCGCTCGCTCGCCCTCTTTCTGCTCTCGGCTCAGCCCTCTCGTCTCTCTCTCTCGCTCGCTTCGCCCTCGTCTCTCTCTCTCTCTTGCTCGCTCGCCCTCTCTCTGCTCTCCATCTTGCTTCGCTCGCAATCCTCATCTCTCCCGTCTCTCTCTTCCGCTCGGCTCCTGTCTCCTTTTTTCGCCTGATTTGTTTCTTGCTCGCTCGCCCTCTCTCCTCTACTTCTCGCTCTCTCCTTCTCCTCGCTCGCCATCTCATTGTCTCTTTTTCGCGGCGAGGTCGCTCGCCCTCGAGCTCTCTCTCTCTCCTCTTTTTTTCGCATCGCTCGCACTCTCTCTCTCAATCAGCTCTCTCCCTCCATCTCTCTCTCTCTCTCTCTCTCTCTCTCTGCTCTTCTCCTCTCTCTATCTTCCATCTGCTCTCTCTCCTGAACCTCTCTTCTTCTCTCCCTCGCTCGGCTCGCCTCTTCTCCTCTCTCGGCCCCCCTCGCAACGGATGTCGGCGCTAGCATTTCGCCCTCTCTTCTCTCTCTCTCCCCTCGCGTGCGCTCCTTCTCTCGCTCTGCTCGCTCTAAGGTTCTGCCCTCGTCTCTCTCTCTCTTCCCTCAGTCGCATCTCTCGCTCGCTCGCCCTCTTCATTCGCCTCTGCCATCTCTATGCATCAGCTCGCTCGCGTCCTTCTTCCTCATCCTTCGCCCATTCGCATCGGGCACTCAGCCTATGAAATCTGCCTACATCTTCTCCTCCCTCTCTTCTCATCCTCTCCCGCTCGCACGGCCTCCCGTACCCCAACCGCCTCTCCTCACCATCCCCGCTGGTACGCCGCCTCCACGCGCCGGCTCCCCGCCCCCACGCTCCCCTCTCTCTCTCCCATCCGTCATTTCCTCGTCTCTTCGCGCCCCCTCCTCTCGCTCGCTTCAGCTCGCCCGTCTTGTTTCCTCTCTCTCTTGCACTCGCTCCTGCTCTTCTCATCTCTCCTCGCTTTCCTTATTGGAATTCGTATTGTTTCCACATCACACTCTGCATGCGCCTTCCGTTTCGGCCGCCGAAGGAAAGGTTAATGAGTGCGAGTTCGAGCCGGCTTCACCGTGGCTCAGGTCAGCGTTCGAATGAGACAGGGAAGTTGTGGCGTTTCTTTGTGCTCTGTCTGGATCTTGGCTGTCTCTCTCTCCTACGCGCCCTCATTTTCCCTCGCCTCTCTCTATCCAAGCACCCTCGTTCTCGTTCCTCCCTCACCTATCTTCCCTCATCCTGACCAATCCCTCCCTTTTTCTCTCTCTCTTTTTGTCCCTCCTCAGTCACTTTTCCTCTCTCTTCCTCGCCTCGCCGTCCCTTTCCTCTCTCGTCTGCCTCCCTCCCTCTTTTACGCAACTCGCTTTCTCGTTTTGGTTTATTCTCTCCTTTCTTTTTCGCTCAGTATTCTCCGTCGTCCTTTACCGGATCTCCGTCTCCCTCGTCTGTAAGGCATGCATGACCTTCCTGACTATACTTCCCGAGCATTCGTCCGAATCCCCTGCCACGTGGCCTCTCCGTCTAGTCCGAAATCCTTGCCAACGTGCTTTGCTTCTCCGCTCGTCCGATCCCTGCTGACGTGCTGTCTTCCTCGTCCGATTCCCTTGCCACGTGGCTTTCCCTGCTCCGAATACCCTGCTACACGTGCCTCTCCCTCGTCCGAATCCCTGCCACGTGCCTCTCCCTCGTCCGATCCCGCCACGCTGCTCTGCTCCCACGTTTCGATTCCCCCGCCACGTGCCTCTCCACTCCGATCCTTGGTCACGTGCCTCCCACTACCTTCGATCCCCGCCACGTGGCCCTCCGACGTTAGATTATAGCCTCCCCGGCCACGTGCTGCTCCAACGTGTCGATTCCCCGCACGTGCCTCTCCCACCGTTCGATTCCCCGCCACGTGCCTCTCCCCATGTTCGATTCCCCGCGGCCACGTTGATCCCTCTCCCACGTTCGATTCCCCGCCACGTGCCTCTCCCTCGTCCTTAATCCCTGCCACGTGCCACTCCCCACGTTCGATTCCCCGCCACGTGCCTCTCCCACGTTCGATTCCCGCCACGTGCCTCTCCCTCGTCCGATTCCTTGTCACGTGTCTGTCCCTCGTCCGATTCCCCGCCACGTGGCCTTTCCCTCGTCCGATTCCCTGCCACGTGCCTCTCCCTCGTACCGATCCTGCCACGTGGCTTTCCCCTCGTCCGAATCCCTTCCACCGTGCTTCTCCCTCGTCCGATTCCCTGCCACGTGCCTCTCCCCCTCGTCCGAATCCCTGCCGCCGTACGTTTTCCCTCGTCTAAAACTTTTCCCTAGACTTCGCCAACCCCTTTCCTGCCCCCCCCCCCCCCCTCCTTCTCCCCCTTCCCAGAACAGGTGAATCTCCCTCTTTCACGGCAAACCCTGTGTGACCTCGTTAGCACCTCGCATTCAACCCTTCCCTCGCCTTCTTCCGACGTGCCCTGGAAGTCAGGAAAACCCTTCCCCTCGGTCCCTTCCCCTCGGGTCCTCCCCTTCGGGTCCTTCCCCTCGGGTCCCTTCCCCTCGGGTCCTCTCCCTCGGGTCCCTCCTCTCGGGTCCTCCCCTTCGGGTCCTCCTCGGGCCCTTCCCTCGGTCCTCCTCCTCGGGTCTTCCTCCTCGGGTCCTCCCCTTCGGGTCCTCCTCGGGCCCTTCCCCTCGGGTCCTCCTCCTCGGGTCTTCCTCCTCGGGTCCTCCCCCTCGGGTCCTCTTCCTCGGGTCCCTTCCCCTCGGGTCCTCCTCCTCGGGTCTTCCTCCTCGGGTCCTCCCCCTCGGGTCCTCTTCCTCGGGTCCCTTCCCTCGGGTCCTCTCCCTCGGGCCAGGACTTACTTCCTTACTTACCTACGGGGTTTCTTTTCCTTCTTTCTTTACCTCCCTCAATTACTCGGGCATCTTCGGTTCCCCCATTCGCCGTCTGACACACGCCTCCCACGCCATCATTTAGCGTCATTTGTTTCCCTCTCCGTCTGTTCTTGTTATCCCCTCTTCCTCTTTCGTCACCTTTAAATACGGATCTTTTCTCACTTCCTTCCGAGTCTCTGCTTTTTGCTAAGCTCAACAAGTCCAGTCTTTTTTCTCTCTAATCTCTCTCTCTATATATATACACATACATAGATACATGTATGCACACACACACACAGACACACATATCAGTCTTCCCATTCTCTTCCTCTCTCTCTATATATATATATTCTCCTCTAATCTCTCTA